TGAAAAAATGGGTTATAAATTTCTAAAGCTGCCAGTTTTAAGGATAGTGCCCAGAAATGCCTGGGATCTAGATTGCATTTTGTGTTCAGTATTGTGAACATTAATCAGCTAAGTACCATAATCCTTCTTACAGGGTACATTCTTACTTGACCTCGAGCTATATACAGCCACATAGTAACAGCATTAAAGAATAACCCTTTTCTTAACAGGCCCATCACTAGAGGATTTTATGGCTTCTTCCTTGAATGATTGTTGTTTCATGTGTAACTTTTTAATAATTGAGTTTTGAAATAAAATGTTTGTAAACCAGTAGATACTTTCAAATCATCTGATTAAGGATGGCTCCTATGATTTTGCTAGGGCTAGAAGGATTAAATGAAAGCACAGCCTGGCACAATGTTGATGTATTTTTGTCAACATGATGCTTCATGCTCGACAGATGTGAATTGGTTGAACAAAAGGTAAAAATAAAAATTTTAAATATTAATTGTTATGGGTAAAAACTGATCTATTTTATGTTTTTTTGATAAATATACATTGATTTTATATTAAATGCTTTTTGTAGGAACTATAAGAATGCAATCTGTATTTCATATTTTATAGGAACATATATTTCAAATTTTTGATGTACTGTGTTTTAACAGCTTTCAATTTTAGAATTTGATTGCAATATTATGTTTAAACTATATGGTTAAAATTCTGTAATTTTATTAATGAAATATTATTTTCATTTATTTGTCATTATCCATGCTTTCTAAAGCTTTAATGAAGATTTAAAAAAAATTATTGATTCCTCAAGTGTACCTTATGTCCTTTTATTTATAAAATGACAATTTTTAATGATCTATAGTAATAGAGGTTATGAGCAAGACATTTTCATATAGGTAGTGCTTAATCAAGATAATATAAAATTTGAATTTGCAGAACTCAGTAATCTTGAAATTCTTTACTTTTAAACTCATTACAATTCTTTAAAATTACATGTATCTTAAAAAGTTAAAAGTATCTGCATATTAAAAACCAAAGTTTTTATGTAATCTTTAACTGTCTTTATAAATGTTTGCTATTTTGTATTTTCAGGGATTTGGTGGTTATTTTTTCTAATAACAGTATCAATTATAGTTAACACAAACCAAATTGGTTGGCAAATATTCTAAGTATTAAATTGGAAATTACATATAAACATGATGAATTCATATACAAAATATAAACTGAAAATACCTTAGGGAAATTGGGAAAATGATTTTAATTGGTAAAGAAATTTCATATTTGGAATTTTCCCATCAGTTTGTATGATTTGGGGACATGGAATTTTACATCCTAATTGATAGGCTTTCTACTGAAATATTATGCAGAGTCAGAAAAATATGGAGCATCTGGTGTGTTATATAGCCAGAATATTTTGAAATAGATTAAATAGTCCATATGACAAAAAGTATAAGCAATGAATAGAAATGCTACTCATTAGAGTTTGGATGTTTAATATGTAATTTTCTATTAACTGGTCCCAGTTAAGGTCATTATAATGTGTTAAAAGAAAATAGTTGTAATAATCCACATTTCAATAAAGAGAAGTAAGGTGAATGTATGTCAGGTAAATATGAAGCAAGTATAAATATATAATGTTATTATATAAGAAAATAGGGTTTAATGGGATACATAGGAATGAAAATTAAGACACTATGTAGCATCACAAATACATTTTAGTCTAAAAAAAGCACAATTTTGGATTCTGTCTCTCACTTTCTCATAAACAAATGGTGCATATTATGCTCATGTGTGCACAAGTGCATGTATACAAACGATGTTGTATCCTTGAAGGAGTGATATAAAACAACACTCTAGATGAATTGCTCCATTGCTTTGAATTATGATTTGTGGGTTAAATACTATTAACTGCCTTTATAAATCATTAGAATAATGTACAAATTATCATTTTTTAATTTATTAAATGTTTTTACCTGATAATAATAAATGCTAAGACTTATTTATAAAGGCCAGTAGCAACGATAGAGACTAGAGACACAGAACTTTAATTTTCATTGATTTTCTGTAGTTCCTGAAAATATTATAGGGTCTAAGAAACATAGAAGTTTTGAAATATAAAGAAGAACAATTGATACAGTTCATCAGAATTATTTTGACAGAATATTTTAATATTTTAGAGTATTTGATGGCAGATAGTTGATTTTTGGGTAATCTTACAATGAAATTTTGCCTGGCTTCTGATATAGTTTTAGTATACCATAAGGTATTATACTTAAAATTATATTTTAAAAGATCTATGTCCATTTTAAGTGACAGTGACTATAGTCATCCTAGGTTGAGATTTTAACCACTGTTCTATTTTTACTTAAATCCAGTACAAATCAGCATGTACAGTAAGATTCACATGCTTCAGGCAAATTTCATAATCTCTATGACACAGTGATTGCTGGGTTTAATATGGAGTTCAATTTTCCTAAGGTATAATTTTGGAAAATACATCTAATAGCTTGCCAGTGGCCAATTATTAATGTGCTTTCTTTTGGAACTGAATTTTACAATAAGAAGTAAATCTTTCCTATTTATCAATAAAATAGAATCCTCTATTATTAAAAACTTATTATATTCACTTTATACATTCTTTCAAAAATTCATACTATTTCCTAAGGTTAGGAATAAAAATTGTTTCTTTTTTTCTTGATACTTCTATAACACTGAGTGCAATGTTAAATATGTTACTGGCAATTTTTTTAACAGCTTTAAGATTTCTGATAGGCAAATTAACTGGATGAAGTTGTGTTAGCATATTATAAGATCATAGTCATTAAGAAATGGAGGAAGGCTTTAGAATCACTCAGCTTCTTAAGATCAAGTATGGTGTCTTACTCGTTTCTATGTCCCTAGTCTATATTTTAATGTGTTATTCATTGTTTGTTAAAATCACGTATGAGTTAAGGTGTATGTCATGTATGTCAGGTAAATATGAAGCAATGTTTCTTCATTTTAAAGCACAGATTCCCTGAGATTAAATAGCTGTGTTGGTTCAAATAACTGGTTAATAATAACAGTAGGACTAAGAAATGCAAATTTCTTAACTCTAGTGTTCTTTTCATGATATTCTATTACTATGCAAGCCATTTGTAAAAAAAAAAATGACCAAAGTAAAACAAATGGTGCATATTATGCTTATGTGTGCACAAGTGCATGTATACAAACGATGTTGTATCAGTTAATATTTATTTTGGGGGTCGTTTTGATCTTAAATTTTAAACTGTAAGAGTCTATAGTTTTATGTAGCAATTGTAACCTAAATTGTTTTTATTAAATTCTATATGTTTTATATGTAAATATTCATGTAAATCATATCCACTTGCTTAATTATAAAACAATTAGGGTACTGGTTAGTTCCTTCATTTATTACAATTCCTTTTCCTTTAAGGTTCCATGATAATCTGTCATGGCTTTGCATTTATGTGAGATTTGAAAGGTGGAATAAATAAATGTTATTGCCAAACAGTAGTTTTTGGTAGGCAGATAGACAGAATGCAAAATCTTAGAGGCTTCTAGGGGAGCTCCAATTAATTGGCCACCACACAGTAGGCCACTGAGATCATTGGGGGAAAATTTCCAAAGTCTTTAGAGATATCAGCAAATTTCTAAGGTCCATATTGCGGACCCTTATTTTGGATCCCTTGTGATTAATTTCCCTGACCTTCATTCTTCTAGCCCATTCAATCTTCATGTAGCTCTGATTCCTGTATTAAAACCTTTCTTACTGGAAAAACCAGTTTTTACTAATGAACCCTTAAGGATAAAAAAATTGGCAGACTGTATTTCAGATATGAGGGAAAGGGGATTCAGTAGCAAAAGGAAGACTTTAAAAGAGAGTGTTGATTTTGCTAGGTTGAGTCATTCCACTGTATTCTTTTTCTAATCTTGCTTTTAGACCCCTCGGGTCCCTGCCCCACCCCACCAAAGTCAAACTGACAATCAAATTGTTGAATCTTGGTCATCAAACTGGCCCTACTCTGACTTTTTTTTTTTTTTTTTGTTCATGTCCAAGAAAAATACTCACAACAGTTTTTCTAAACTTTTTGTCTCATTTTCAGGATTCCAATCCCATTGTTTCACATAGCTAGTTGTAGATATTATCTGAGTTCATACTAGAGAAGAGGACAGTGTGAATATTTTGTTGACAGAATACCATGCATCATTGTATTATTAACTATATGTAGGTTATACCAATGTTAGAGAGACATATTGGAAACAGTAAAAATTTTCTTCCTTTGAGACTATAAAGGAATATGAAGGTCATATATGAAGATGAAGTAGAGAAGTATCACTAAGCAGGCATTAATCTTATTGAAGATGAAATAAACATTAATCTTATTGAAGCTGAAGTAAATTTCTGAATCCTAGGGTTTTTTTGATGAATAATTGTTGGTGTTTATTTAAATTACTTATCTCAAAAAAGAGATGGAAACATAATGTTATGATGAAAATTTAGGTTAACCAATAATAGGAGTGATATAGGTGATGAATGAAAAATGAATTTTAAGAACTAGCACTTAATGTTAGAAAGTATTCAACTCTGGAGGCAAGTCAGTTCGACTTCATTACAATTCAGATGAAAGTGACAGAATAGAGAGAATGGAAGGAATGTTTTTCTAAGCTGTTGATAATTAGGGGATAGCTAATGTGTAGCAAGACAAGCAAAGAAGTTAAAATAAATACTGTTTTACAGCATTAGAATAGGAGATTGATTATCTAATTTCAGAACATAGTATATTTCATATATTTTTTTTGGTCATTTAATAACCACAACAAAATATCTTTGAATGACCTATTTGAACTGAATCAAATTAATCTTACTAAAACTTATTTTGGTATATTTTTAAAATGAAAAAAAAAAGGGTCAAAAGATTCATTTGAATTTATCCATCAACTTGGCAGTGAATCAGTAAAATATAAAATTGTTTAACTATTTTCTTCTAATTGGACTTTTGGCTACTTAGGAAAAGAAGTCCATCGGTGTCCAGAGATCAGAATAGAAGATACGACCAAAGGGAAGAAAGAGAAGAATATTCGCAGTATGCTCCTTCAGACAGCGCAATGCCCAGATCTCCATCAGACTATTCTGATAGACGATCTCAACTTGAACCTCAGTTTTATGAAGAATCTGATCATTTAAATTATAGGGACTCCAACAGGAGAAGTCATAGGCATTCCAAAGAATATATTGTAGATGATGAGGATGTGGACAGCAGAGATGAATATGAAAGACAAAGGAGAGAGGAGGAGTACCAGGCCCGCTACAGAAGCGATCCAAATTTGGCCCGTTATCCAGTAAAGCCACAGCCCTATGAAGAACAAATGCGTATCCATGCTGAAGTGTCCCGAGCACGGCATGAGAGAAGGCATAGTGATGTTTCTTTGGCAAATGCTGAACTAGAAGATTCCAGGATTTCTTTACTAAGGATGGATCGACCATCAAGGCAAAGATCCGTATCTGAACGTAGAGCTGCGATGGAAAATCAGCGATCTTATTCAATGGAAAGAACTCGAGAAGCTCAGGGACAAAGTTCTTACCCACAAAGGACCACAAACCATAGTCCTCCTACCCCTCGGAGGAGTCCAATACCCATTGATAGACCAGACATGAGGCGTACTGACTCACTAAAGAAACAACACCTAGATCCCAGCTCTGCTGTGAGGAAAACAAAACGGGAAAAAATGGAAACTATGTTGAGGAATGATTCTCTCAGTTCAGACCAGTCAGAGTCAGTGAGACCACCACCACCAAAGCCTCATAAATCAAAGAAGGGTGGGAAAATGCGCCAGATTTCATTGAGCAGTTCTGAGGAGGAGTTGGCTTCCACGCCTGAATATACAAGTTGTGATGATGTTGAGATTGAAAGTGAGAGTGTAAGTGAAAAAGGTAAGCTCTCTAATCACATTTCCCTGTAATTGCTCACACAAGAGTTTTCTTTTCAGATTATATTTTGGAATAAACACTTAATAGTTAGATATTCTTCCCTTTATATCAAGTCTTTTAGTGGTGTTGGTCATGTGAAGAAAATCTCAGGTTATAAAAAGTGAGTATCTTCTATGTTCACGTATATTCTATGTTCATGTATAAGAAAAATGTCTGTTTTGTTAAAACCCCTGTCCTGCTTTGTTTCCGGAATTTTTCTTGCATCACTTGATGGCATATTTTAAAAATGTCTATTAGCTGTTGTTTAAAAATAACATTTTTTGTGTGTCTATAAAAGTAACACTGTATTCACTATAAAATATTGAAAACTTTCCTGAAAATGTAAAGAATAAAATTCAAGTTATTCATGTTTTTTTCTTCCAGATACAACCATTGTTAAACTTTTGTTATATTTTCTTTCTTGTTTTCCTATGCATGTATAGTTTATATGTTTATAAAATTGGTATCATACTGTGTATAATTTTTTATCCTGATTTTTTTCAATTGATATCCTTTTCTTCAAGATATTAGATAGTCTTTAAAAATCTGTTTTAAATGACTGCACTAATGCTTGATCTTAAGAATGTATCAAAAACTAAATATTGGCAGTTGCTTCCAAATGCTAGTATAAATAATGTTACAATGGTTATCTTCATATATATATAGTCTTCATTTCTGAGTATTTAAAACTATATGTATTTGGACTTTGGATTTTTTAAAATCTTTAATTCAGATTTCTAGATTGCTTTCCAGAAAAGTTGTAATATTCTCTACTACCATCAAATATGCTTATGCTTTTGCTCTGAATGCACCAGATCTTTTAAAACTAAATAGGCCATAAAAAATGCTCTTTATTAGCAGAATGGAATTCATTTACCTTAATTTAAATTTGATTGTGAGGTTGAATGTTTCAATATGCTTATTGGTGTTTGATATCTTCTGTGAATCATCTTTTCATTCCTTTATTCCTTTGGTCCTTCTTCTTATTGGGTATTAATTAATTTTTCTTATTGACTTTTAAGAACTTTTATATATTAGAATTTTACCTCATCTGAGTTATTTTTTTTTCCAAATTTACTTCCCACTTCAATGTTTATCGGCTAATTTTCTTTGGTTATTTGCAAATATTGAATTTAGTATAGCTAAACCTTTGTATACTTGTTGATTTTTTCTCATTATTTTCATCCTTAAAATTCTTTATTCTTCCCCAAATCAGTTAAATATTTAGGTGTATATTTTGCCAACTTTTTTCTTAAACATTAACTTTTTAATCTTTCTGGATTTATTTTGGTGTGTGATATGATAACCACCAGATTGGTGAGTATCTAACACAAATTGCTTGTACCAATCCCTGCCTCATCCTCCCCCAACTTTATCATAATATTTGGTCAGTAGCCCACTTCTTATTTGTAAGAATCAGGAAGAATCAAATGGAATTCAGGAAGGCAGATAGATATGATATTAATATAGTAATTTTATGCCATATCAAAACTAATTAGAAAAAACAAGAGTAGTTCTCATTCTGAACTAAAAACAGAAAATCAATTTTAAAAATAATTAACAAGAAATGAGGGGACCTGTGGGAAGAACCATAAAGTTTTATTGGATAACATAAAGGAAGATGTGAGTAGAGAAGTTCATTTCATGTTCCTAATTAGGAAAACTAAAAACTACGAAGATGCATGCCAAATAATCTTTTGGGGTTAATAACATTCTAGCACTAATTCCAGTTGGACCCTTGGGGTATCTTACTTTCTAAAGTTTATATGGAAGGAAAAACACTGGTAAGAATAGCTAAGAGTAGTCAGGAAGAACTCACTTGACCAGATATTAATAAAATGACAATAATTGAAAGTATGTTATTGATAGAAAATTCAGCAGATCAGTGGAATTTTAGTATAGAATATTAAAAACTAATAAAAGGATAAAAATATAAAAGGTGCCACAATTCAAGGAGAAGGAGATAGTTATACAACAAATAGACTGAGAAAAATGTACATAAAGTTGAAGAAATCAAATTATAAACTTATTGTACACTTCTTGCATTAAAATGATGTTATAAAAATTTGTGTCTTGAAATATAAATATCTCAAAAACTGGTAGATGTTAGTTTTATGGAGTATATAGGAATTTTATTTTCCATATGCTGCAATATTTCCTTAAGTACACTTAATAATTTTTAATTTGATCATTTTTCATGTTTTTAGAGTGATAGATACTAATTGATTAAAAAAGATAATTTTGTTATTTCTGATGGGTTGGGTTTGATTCCTTCTGGTAGTATTTTATTATAATTTGCTAAAACTAATACTTTTAGTTTACTAAGTAAAAATGTATAAATGATGCAGAGATTGGTATCAATACAGTGCTTGAAAAAATTTTATGTGTGGTAGCCTTTTAAATATTTATACTTTGTTTTAGATTCTGAACTATCCACTTATAAAAATCTCACAAAAATTCATACATAAAGAGTTATGTATGAATTATGTTCAAATCCTATGTGATACTAAAAAACTGAGACATTTATCAAGTAGGGAAACATGCCACTTACATCTGTGTTCTCCCCTAATTTGAGCTTCAAGGAGACACTCTTGGAGATAGTCGTCCTCTTTCTCATCTATCTAATAATTTGTTTCTCAGTGTATAATTTCTGCTAATGTGTATTTTCTAGGCATAGATATGATTTTCACATTTGAAAGAAGGAACCTGAATAAAAGTAATCTTTTCATACTCAATATTTCTCCAATAGTAGAATTCAGTGAGGAGAAATTGCAGCTGTTAAGAGACTGGAAATTATGGGAAAGAAAATAATGTATGTCATATCTAGACTTTTCATCATTATGATAGCATTTTAAATTATTTGTGGAAAAAGTATCAGTCTGATTTGAGAATAAGCTACTTTTAATATCTAACCTTGTTATTCATAGGAATATTGGGATTTAACTAATGTTTAACATTTCTTCTGAATAATTAAGGAATTTCATTTGTACCATTCAAACACATTTTTTCCTTGTTTATTTATATGTGGAAGCATCATTCTGATGAGGACAAGCCTGCTTTTGAAAGATAATTGTCCTTTTGTTCTGTTATCCCTAGGCTAGATAACTACAAAGAAAGTGTTCTAACACTCAGATATCTTTTTCATTATCTTTACTTTTTTGTTCCTTTTCATTTTTTATGTATATTCTTAAAAATGGGCAGTGCAAATTTGGATCAAGTAATCTAATTTTAAAATATTAATCCACTCTCTATAGATAGTACCAGTCAGTACTATCATTGCAGAAGGATTCTTTCCAGGCCCTAGTATCTAATAGCTTCTGTTTACTACTTAGCAGGATCTTCTGTTCTTTAAATAATGAAATTCCATTGACAATCTGCAGCAAGCTTATAGATCACTTAACTTAAAACCTTCTTTCCTCTACTGTTCTTTTGGCTCATCTAATTTTTAGTTTCAGCTTCATTGGTGAATTGGTGGCTTTGGCTCTTTTATTATACATATCATTTTGGATGTATTTCATTATTTTAAATATACATATTTCACTCATATTTGAAATCAGTGTCATTTTGCTTACTATATTCTGATAAATTATGCTGATAGTTACAGTCCATGAGTGATTTGGCCATTATTTGTGTAAGAGTAACAGGGGTATGTAATAGGAAGTTTTGGAATCTAAGAAATCAAATCCTGGGTGTGTTATTCTCTCAAAGCATTTTAACTACTCTAAGTCTGTTTCCTTACCTATAAATCTGTAAATCAGAATAGCCTTGTTAGTTTTTGATAATTGTAGGGACCAAATGAGCCACTCTCTCTCTCTCTCTCTCTCTCTTTTTTTCTACACATACTTACATGTACATGTTAAGTATCAGGCATTCACATCATTTTTTACATTATTTATTTAACATTTTGTAATAGTCAAGACTTTATTAGACAACTCTAAAGAAATTTGGATGGAAAAATATAATTTTGGTCATGTGGACTGTGGTCATTTGTGTGGTTTTCTTCTCTTTCAGAATCTGCCCCATGTTGAACCTCCTATTTCCAGGCTAAGAAGAATATACCTTTTAACTTGTTGAAGTATAATTTTGAGATGTAATGCAGTGTCTCACTAAAAACTAAGCATCTATTTACTTGTTGTCTGACAAGTACTTTTTTAGGGTCTCTTATTTACAAAGTGTGGGATTAGATACAGTGGAGGATGTAGAGATGAATAACACATTCATTCTACCCTCAAAAAATTGAAAGATTAAAATAAGAGCAGTATAAGGAATTATACTGTAGGAATTATATGACTTTAGAACTATATGTCTTGAAACACTTATCTTTCAGCAATGTGATGGAACTCCTTTTCACATTGTTAAAATAATCACTTCTCTATACTTTGTGTTGGTTTAGGAAATGACAAACTGTGATCTTTCTCTCCCCCCGCCCTCTCTATTTTTGCTTTGAGGGTTATAAAAGGAGATAAGGTTTAGATTTCTGATATCATATTATCTTTGAATTTGAATATTAGATGTGCTTCTCAAATTTTAAAATGTTTTTCATGAAAACATAAAAAAACTTTATAAATTACTATTGACTTTATAATTTTATTCATGAATTCCTTATTGAATGATCCTTAGTGCTGTTGAGTTGGATAATTGTTTTGTGAGGCTGTCTTGTGCATTGTAAGGTGTTTAGCAGCATACCTACTAGGTAACCAGGAGCACTCCATTCCCAGTTGTTATTTAACTCCCGTGGGACAGAGCCCCCGACCCCACCTACAGTCTCTACCCTCTCCACTTGTCCTTCTCCCCTCTTTGCTCTCAGAACCAATTAAAAAATTTTTTTTAAAGTGTGAACTAAAATATAATAGAAAATATCAGAGAAATACTTAGTAAGGATAATACATATATACATACAAACACATACACTCTATAGTCTTACAGTGTAAAACATGCAGTTAGCTCTGGGTGTCTGCACAGTG